AGAACCATGTGCACTCGATAATAAGGTGCACTTTTGCTTGCAGGTGAAATAATGAAAGAAACCTGTCTTCACTCAATGATTACTTTATTCGTACTGAGTTGACACATTATCACATCTGTTGCCGCGCAAAAAAAACTACAGCTAGATACATTGTATTATATTTAGATAATATATGGGCTAACCGGCATCTAGCAAAAATATTAAATATGTAATAAACACCGTTCTTTTGAGAACGATGATCCCCCGCCCTTACTGTTTAGGTACAGAACGTCTCTGTTCTTTTCAGAACAGCACCCCCTAGCCCCTTCCGTTTCAAATACATACTGATTCGTAGAATTACTGCCCTCAACATGTCCACAGTTACCCAAGTTAAGTCCCTCGTCGCCGCTCTAAACCAAACTCTTGGTTGTTTGAAACCGGGATGTTTCAGAAGGAGGAAGAGGTTCATTATCACGTTCCTATCTAGTGTATCCGAATGGCTCCTCTCCAGTGGTGGAGGAAGAGGCCAGTTTGAGTGGCAGAGAGGCCGCGGCCGGGTCTGCGCCCGCCGCGACGTCCCCGCGCCCCCCGCCCGCCCCGCAGCCGGCGCCCGCGGCTCCGAGCCCGGCGAGGGAGCGCCCCAACCCGCCTTCGAACAACTCAGCATAGCTGGAAAACAATTCATTTACGGCATAAGATACATTCATGGCTGATTCGTTTAACCTGTTTATATTAAATTTTGGTACGCTGATATCAAGTTCTGACAACCACTGTCTGCCTAATAAAGTAGTAGTACCGTTATTTATAACATATAAGTCTAAAACTTTGCTAGACCGCCCATATGTCACATTAACCTCGCAGTAACCTAATGGCTTTATTTTTGTTCCATCATAAAAGGTTAGTGCTAAATCACATGGTAATAATGGTAAATGATTAAATGTATCTTCATACGTGGTTTTACTAATACACGACAATGCTGAGCCAGTGTCTATTTCCATGTTTAAGTTATGTCCACTCACTAATAAACACAAACTCACCGGCTTGTACTGTGACAGCGACATTTGCATCACCGGTTCTTCCTCGGGTGCCTCGTGGTACTTACTCAATGCCGCCCCATCGTCTGCATTGACATAATTTGTTTTCGGTCTCTGATTATGTCCTCCGCGACCGCTGTTCCGGCTTTTCTTTCCAAAGCCCTGTACATTCGCCGCGTTTCCGTTGTAGGCGCCCGGCGCCACCGACTGGTTATTTGTGAAACACACGCGTCGTAGGTGGCCCATCACGCCACACTTGCAGCATATGTAGGTTCTGAACTTGCACTCGTTGGCAACATGGTCAACACCTCCGCAAGCTCCGCATAGCGAACCGCGCACATCCGCGCGGCCTGCGCCGACGCCGCCGCCACCGCCTCCCGCCACTGCGCTGTGCCGGGCGGCTAGGTATGGCGGGCTCGCTGGCCGACGCGCATGGCGTTCAGCCCCCCGTTTACCCCGCCGCCGCCCTCGCCGCGCAGCTGACCCGCGGCCTGCGATAACGTCATCGCTGCGCCCGACTCCACGAGCGCCGCGTCCCGCTCCGCTGCCTCCAGCGATCCCGCTAAAATCACTGCCTTGTCATAGGACAATAATTTTTCTTCCGCGAATAATCTCTGCCGTATGACGTCACTTCGAAGTCCGCACACCAACTGATCCCGTAAATTGTCCTGTAGGACTGCACCGAATTCACAATGTCTACATAGTTTCTTTAATGCCGCCACGTAATCACTGATCGATTCACTGTCTGTTTGTCTTCTTTGCCTAAAACGATAACGTTCCGCCATCGGAGATGGTTTCGGTTGCAAATGATTACCTAATAGTACAACTGCATCCAAATACGTAAGTTCCGCGAGTTTCTTAGGACTCGCGAGGGTGGATAACAGTTCATACGCACTTTCACCCATAGCCGCGATCAAGGTAGGCAATTTAATTTCGTCCTTCACTGAATTTGCCACAAAATACATTTAGAGCCGCTCCACGTAAGCAGTCCAGTTACCGGTTTTCACGTCAAACTCACTAAACTTTCCGACCGACATTTTTGCACGCTGATTGTTCGCAGTCTAAATTTTCCATATTTTCTATTTTCACGTATTTTCCGCCGATTTTCACCATTAAAATCCTCGTCGCCAGTGAGACAAAGGAAAACACGTCCGTACAGTTCTACCATTTATTGCGAGAGAGAGCGAGGTCAGAAACTACCTTCCTTATGCTAACAATAAGCTTACCCTACATTACAGTCTGGGCCTAAACCTCGATGAGTCGGCCCTCGCCGCCATCGCCGCCCTTGTTACTCCCCCTGTCCGTCAGACACTCCAACCGCCGCCCGTACCCGCGGCCTACCTAGAGACCAAGAACTCTTTCGCCCCATTAGAAATGGAGTACGCATGCTCCGAGTCCTCTGCGTCGGCCTCCAGGAAGAGGCCCGCCACCAATTCTGGCACCGGTTCATCGGAGTCCTGTGACTCCGACGGAACCAGGGATTCTTCGTTCACCACGGTGAACTCCAAGCGCAGCGGTAAACGCGCCGCGAAAAACCGCACCCTCCCTGTCTCAGCGGGCCCTGCCGCTCCTTCAACCTCCGCAGCTCCCGCTGCCCCCGCAGCCCCCGTCGCTGCCTCGGCCCCACTTATGTCACTAGACGTCCCCGCTCCGACCAAGTCGCTGTGCTCCAGTCCTTGCCAAGAAGCAAGTCCCGCCCCCTGTCTTCCTAAGAGACAAGGCCAAATTCACAGAACTCTCCAAAACCTGCTACAACGCAGGTATAAAATACGACCACGCCATCAACCTCGGGGAGGCTATTAAGATCATCCCCCAATCAATCGACGACTTCCGGCGTCTCACCAGGCTATTTACAGCCGATCGAGTATCTTACCATACATACGCTCTTCCGGAAGAGCGTAAAGTCAGGGCCGTCGTCCGCGGCGTCCCCTTCGAATTTTCCAATGAGGAAATCCTTGAGAACCTTAAGTCCCAAGGTTTCCCCGTAGAAGCCGTGCACAAAATGCACAGTAGAACGGGCCAGAGGTTCTCTCTTGCCCTAGTAATTTTAACCAACGTGCCGGAGGCGAAAGCCATCTTCCGGCAGGTACGCACAGTGTGCGGCCTGTCGAGAGTGAGGGTTGAGCCTCCACATAGGCGCGGGTTCCCGGCGCAGTGCCACCGCTGCCAGCTGTATGGTCATGCGGCGGCCAACTGCTCCGCCCCACCCAGGTGCGTTAAGTGCCTTGAACCCCACAACACTAAAGAGTGTCCTCGGCCCAAAGACGCCGAATCCCCACCCGCGTGTGTCCTGTGTAAACAAACAGGCCACCCGGCAAACTACAGAGGCTGCCCTTGCGCACCTCATCCTCGCCCCAGCAGGCAAGCTCCACCGCCGGTCAATGACCGCTCATTCCCGGCTCTTTACCAACGGATGCCCCGTCAGAGCCTTTACCAGCCCATCCAGGGCTTCTCTCGGCCCTCTCAGGGTCCCCCTAGGCCCCCTCAGGGACCTCTTCGGCCCCCACCGGGCTTCTCTCAGCCAATGCAGCCTCCAGTCTTTCCCTGGGGCCCCAAAAAGGCAGACCCACCGCGGACATCCTCCGCCCCACAACAATCACAACCCTCAATGGCTGATGACCTAAAAACGGTGTATTCCGCTATTAGGAATATCAACGTTGAGGAAATCGCTGTGTTAGCACGCAAATTGCGCGCTGCGAGGTCCCCTCAGGACCGTCTCCTCGCTCTTGCAGAGCATCATAATCTTTTGTGCTCGTTGTAAGTTAAGTTAACTTAATTAACTTAACTCACAATGACAGAGCAGTTTGCTCTACCAAAGTCTCACGGTCGTATCAAACCTAAGGGTTTATCGCTTGTATCCTTTAACATTCGCGGTTTGCGAAATAACCTCCCAGAGCTTAAGCTCTTTCTTCGAAATCGTGAAGCCGATTTCCTCTCCCTACAGGAAACTAATCTCAATACTAAGGACACTAAAGGCCTTTCCATCAAAAACTTCTCTCTTTTTCATAATGACAGACCCGACCGCCGAGGCGGCGGTACGGCCATTTATTACAAGAAGACACTTCACTGCTCTCCCATTTCTACTCCACAACTTTCCAACATGGAAGCCACGGTAGGTAGGCTAGCTATGACTGGACATCAGTCCATCTTCATAGCCTCCTGCTACATCCCTTCTAAAACCCTTCCCCTCAAAAAAGATTTTGAGGCTATTTTATCTCTAGGCAATTCAGTCATTATGTTTGGAGATTTTAACTCCAAGCACACTGAATGGACATGCCGTACTACTTCACGTAGTGGCAGGATACTGCTCGATATCACGCAGTCTCTTGACCTTACCGTCCACAGTCCTCTCGGTGCTACTCACTATCCCGATATCACCGATTACGCTCCCGACGTGCTAGATTTTGCACTATTCAAAAGTGTTTCCCTCAACCTCAGGGCAATCGAGACACTAGACGATCTAGGATCCGACCACAGACCGGTCTCCCTCATTCTTGGCCATCAGCCACCCCCTTCAACACCCTCTACTAAAACCTTCACAAATTGGAAGGGCTTCAAGGAGTCCCTAGCGAAGGCTCTGGACTCACAGGACTCCCCAATCTCCCTATCGTCGGACTTAGACAGTCCCGAAAAAATCGACACCGCGGTCGATTCACTCTCCACCCTTATTAAAACCTCCCTTAAGGAGAATGAAAGGGTCGTCCCGGTTGCTAATAATAGTGGGCTTCCCCTGCATATTAGCAACCTATTAAAAGCCAAAAAAGCTGCTTTCCGGAGAGCAGCAAAATATCCCACGCCCGAATATAGGCGCACGGCCAATCGTCTTCAACAAGAACTCCGTTTCCGCCTCTCTGAATTTCGAGACCTCGAAAAGAGTAAGCTCATGGAGAATATCTCTCCCTCTCATACAGCGTACTATCAGATGGCAAGAGCCCCCCGCATAGACGCTATCACCCACACTCCCCCTCTCTCCCGTCCCGACGGTACGGTAGTGTCTTGCCATTTATGCCGTTGCTGTAATGAGTGGAGATATTCAGATTTCCATCTCCGCCAAAAATCTTGCATCCTGTTTTGTAAAAATTGCCATCTAGATAACATACCTACGTTTTTGTGTTCATAATTTATGTCGGGTATATTAATTATTGGCTCACCAATGAGAAAATGACCTGGGGTGAGTGGATCCAGTGTTTCACTGGTGTTATCGGAGTGACAGATAGGTCTCGAATTTAGACAGGCTTCTATCTGCGCCAATAGTGTTGCCATTTCCTCATAGGTTAGCTTTGTAGTTCCGTTTATTCTCGATAAATGTTTCTTAACCGACCGAACGCCTGCCTCCCATAGCCCACCAAAATTGGGTGCCTTCGGCGGAATGAAGTGCCATGTTGTGCCATCATTTGATAGGAGCTCAGCTACCTCCCTCGCCAGATTAGCCTTGCCCTGTTCAAACATACACTTTAATTCCTTTGCGGCTCCCACAAAGTTAGTGCCGTTGTCACTCCACAAGTTCCTGAAGTGACCTCTTCTTGCAACGAATCTCCTAAATGCGGAAATAAAGGCTTGTGATGTTAAATCCATAACAGCTTCGAGATGTATAGCTCACGTAGACATGCAAACGAAGACACAGATATAGCCCTTTGTTGATTTGTAACCACGGCCCTTTGACGTTCGCAATTGCACAGGTCCCGAAAAATCAACTCCACTGTTGAAGAAAGCGCGATTTGGATTCACTCTTGCAGGTGGTAACTGGCCCATCAGCTGCTGCTTAATTTTTGCCTTGTCAATTATGCACACCTTACAATTACGAATAATTGCTCTGAGAGCAGACTTCAGACTAACTACCCAGTACTTGCTGCGGATATATGTAAGCATCTGAAGAAAACCTCCATGAAGAGTTCTTATGTGGGCTTCGTTAATTATAAGCTTAGTAATATGCTGCCTTTTTGGTATTATAATTGGATGTTTAGCATTCTCATTTATATTAGCATTAGCTAGTCGCCCTCCTACTCTAAGAAGCCCCCTTTTGTCTAAGAAAGGTGTAAGACTTATCAAAGAACTTCTACCTTTTATCTTTCCTTTCTTATTTAGATCTCTAATTTCATCTTCGTACACTAAGTACTGGTAGTATTTTATAAATTTTTCTTCAACTTCATTCATTTCTTCCGTAGTTAAATAATTTTCATTTTTATTTTTATTATGTAGAAATCGTAAACACCATGCAAGAACTCTTTTCATTCGTAACATAGATGAAAATCTTTCCCAAACTGGTTTTTCCTTTAAAACTACATTAAACGATCTTTTTATCTCTAAATATGTTTGAGGTATATAATGCTTTGGTAAATCCATTCCTTTATTTTTTAACCACTCTGGTCCAGTCCACCACATGTCATTGTTTGCCATTTCAATTGGCGCCAACCCTCTAGACGCGAGGTCAGCGGGATTGTCGGTTGATTGAACATGATACCACCTCTCATTGTCTATCAACTGAATTATGTCCGACACTCTATTGCCAACAAACACTTGCCATCGACTTGGTTGAGACTGTAACCAAGACAGAACCACCATTGAATCAGTCCAGGCATATATTTGATCCATATGTATATCACATAGGCCAGATAACTCGTGCAATAGCATAGCCAATAACACCGCAGCGCAAAGTTCTAATTTCGGAATCGTCAATTGTTTCAATGGTGCCACCTCGGTTTTGGATGCCACCATTGTGACGTGGACCCTATCATCTTCATCTAAAACCTTGATATAGACCACTGCTGCGTACGCAACGGAAGAAGCATCTGCGAATCCATGCAATTGCACTTCTTTACAACGTGACGTCGTTTTAATCCAGCGTGGGATTTCAATGCCTTGCAGCTCTTGAAGTGCCTCTCTGTAACTAAGCCATTCCTCTACTAGCTCAGAAGGTAGTTCATCATCCCAGCCAAGATTACTTAACCACAGTCTCTGTATCATAATCTTAGCAGTGATAATCACTGGAGAGAGCCAGCCAAATGGATCAAAAAGCCTGGCCACATCTGATAATATTAACCGTTTTGTTACAGGTTTCCTGGTTTCCGGTAAGTTGACTGTAACCTTGAACGTATCCCTTTTTCTGTCCCATGTAAGACCAAGTATTTTTATCACCGTATCTAATTTTATTTCTATGCTGTCCATAGTTTCCGAAATGTCTTTGTCATCTTGAAGAAACCGCAGCAACTCATCAGAATTGCTAGACCACTTCTGCATTTGAAAGCCACCTTTTTTTAACAGATTCTTAACTTCATCGCAAATTTGTTTTATTTCCGACAGATCTTCATGCCCGGTCATTAAATCGTCCATGTAGAACGAATTCTTAACGACAGCAGATCCTCGAGGGTACCTGTCACCTTCATCATCAGCCAGCTGGTGTATAGACCGTACAGCAAGGTATGGTGCTGCAGCGGTTCCAAACGTTACGGTAAGTAATTTATAACTTTCTATGTTTCCAGAAATATCATCTTGCCAAACAATACGTTGTAAATTTGTGTGTTTGCTAGTCATCCTTACTTGACGATACATTTTGATTATATCGCCGACAACACATATTTTGTGAGACCTCCAGCGAGTGATAAGAGCACGAAGATCAGGTTGTAAAGTGGGGCCAATCATCATGGCGTCGTTTAAGGAGAGGCCATTGGAACCCTTGGCTGAAGCGTCGAAAACAACTCTTACCTTTGTAGTGTCTTTATCCTTTCTTACGACAGCATGATGAGGTAAGTAAATTGCTTCATCTTCCTCTCCTTTTTCAGCTTTCTTCATATGACCCATCTTTAAGTACTCATGTATCACATTCCTATACTCTGTTCTCAAATCTTCATGCTTGATAAACATCCTTTCCAACTGTTTAAATCGTTTGATGGCCAGGTATTTAGTCTCGCCGCATGCCTTCACTGTTTCCTCAATACTATGCTTTAAAGGTAAATGGACTACATACCTTCCCGATGTATCCCTTGTCGTTGTATCTATGTAGTGTCTTTCACATCTTTCTTCTTCCTTTGTCCATGCTTTCTTGCTCGTGTATTTTTCCGATTCTATTTCCCAGAATTTTTTCAATAGATTGTTGTCTTCATCTACGAGCCTGGTGACATGTAAGCTAATAATTTTTTGTGCTTTAGTAGGAGTTGTGTATATATCTCCTGTCAATATCCAGCCTAGGTGTGTGCGTTGAGCGATTACATCGCCCGGTCCCTTTAGCAGACCTAAATCTATAATTTTCCCAAAAACGTCAGCTCCGAGTAGGATATCAATCCGACCCGGGACGTTAAAGCTGGGATCAGCTAACTTCACATTTTTAAGTTGAGGCCAATCGTACCCTCTTATTTCCCTAGCAGGTAGTCGACGAGTCAACGATTTCATAACATAAGCATTAACATCAATAGAAAAATCACTTTCATGCCTCGACTTAATATGTAATCCTACTAAATGATTAATATAAACTTTATTACCTTCACCAATTCCTGACACCACGCCGCTGATTTGAGTCCTCTTCAGACCTAATAACTCGACCACTCGCGCTGTCACGAATGAGGCCTCCGAGCCCTGATCAATCAGAGCCCGAAAGACGTGCAATTGTCCCGTTCGCGAAGGCACCTCTACCAATGCTGTCGCTAACAAAACTTGTTGAGCGGGTTGTTCTCCACTTGACATATGTGCTGTAACCTTGCTAACTTCTTGTGTATTTGTTGTAGTTTCTTCTGTATTTGCCCTTACTTCACCTGCTTGTTTTATAAAATCTCGATGTAATAAAGAGTGATGTCGTCTGTTGCATATTTTACACGTATTTGACTGCCTGCATTTAAATACGGAATGATTTGGAATTAAACAATTGAAACACAAGTTGTTTTTCTGGACGAAACTGTATCTCTCTTCTATTGGTTGTTTAGCGAATTCTTTGCAATTAAATATAAAATGAGTTTCTTTGCAGAAGGGGCAATATTTATTTTCGCTAGTGGAAGTCGCATGAAATGTCTTAGGTTTAACTAGTTTGTAAGCTTTATTTTCAGGTTCCACCATCTCCAACATGCGAAAACGTGTTTCCAGGAAGGCCTTCAGTACTTCAAAACCAGGTAAGTCATCAGTACTATCTCTACTTATTGTAATTTCCCACTGTTTATGTGTTTCAAGATCCAGCTTTGACACGATGACATACTCGTAGTTTATGATTGCATCCCATTGCGCTATTGGTAAGCCAAGATTTTTTAATGAATTCATACATTCAATTGACGTATCGAGCAGTTGCCTTAAGGACGAAGCTGACTCCTGAGCTAGTGTTTTTTGGCAAAAAAACTTTTTAAATACGCAATTAGCAATGTACCTTTTGTTGTTATAACGCTTTTTCAAAATGGACCAAGCCTCAGCATAATTTGCATCCGTAGTAGAAAACTGGCGCAACAAAATTTCTGCATCTCCTTTCAAGCTGCTCTTAAGATAATGTAGTTTCTGGACATCTTCTAATGACTCATTCTTGTGTATTAATGCCATAAAGAGATCGTGAAACGATTGCCATTCCGTGTAGTTGCCTTCAAAAATTGGAATCGAAATACTGGGTAATTTTATATCACTCCCGGAACCACATGGTCTCATGTCATCTATTTTGTGCAGATCGTCTGGTTTTTTCATATCGACCATTAATTTATTTAATGAAGTTTTCATTTCGCCCTTGTACGTAAAATATAATTCTTCAAATTTATCGAATATATCTTCCGCAAAATATGGTAACATGTGTCTATCCTTTTTAGAAACAGCCATAACTAATTTCTCATGACCGGACTTAAATTCCTTCCAATATGTTTCTAAAGTTTCCATTCTACTCTGTATATAACCTACGGTTATCCTGTCCTTAGGCGATTTTTTGTAATTAGCGTACGTCTTTTGTACCTTTTCAAATGTATCAACTTGTAGCAACATTTGATTTTCAACGCTCTCCATATTTAATATCTTTTATTTACAACAATACAAATAAAATACTTTAGTAGTAATTCACAGTTTTCGAATAGCTTCCTTAACTTTCAACATATATGTAGGTAGGTAATTATTCTTACCAATAGATCTGTTATGGATCGCAGTGGACTGTATTATTGGGGGGTGGGGGTGTACGCTAGGGGGCAACTGCTCAAAGAAAAGATGGTACTGTCGAACTATACTGTATTCTAACTATTTACAAAGTGTGGCACTATTAATTAAACTATTATACAGAGGGGAGTCTTCTTGATGGAGTCTTCTTGAGTCTTGATTTTCTTGATTTCTCTTGCTGTCTTCTTCTCGTCGAGTGCCGCTTCCGAAATGAACAGCTCACCGTCCGAGACGCCCTTCTTATATCTCGCCGGAGAGCGTCTCGGGTCGTGCGTAGCGTCGTCCGCGATGCCGCGCGCTCATTGGTCAGCGACATCGCGTGATCTGCTGCCGGTGTGCGGGGTGCGCGGGGCGCACCGGGGTGTGAAGGGGCGACGGGGCGGCGGCCTCCTCGCTGTCCGCTACAAGATCCAAAGTTCACCTTAAAACATTCACAGTTGTTAATAAACACTAATAATTGTTCGCCGACTCACTATATTTTAGTTTAATTTACTTCGTTTAGGATTACCGTTGCACAAAAGTAACGTTTTTATAATTCAATTGTCCGTGTAATGTAATTTTGTTCACTAATAACTGATTTTTAACGTTCTTTCACTGTTATTCACTTTTCCTTCAGAACTTTTCTTCGATAATGTTCATTTATTTTTACTAATAAGTCCGTATTCCGTATTTTTCAAAATAACTCCAATTACATCTACTCGCAAATTTACGTAATTAAAATAGGGCAAGTTGAATGATCCGTGCTCGAAGAACCATGTGCACTCGATAATAAGGTGCACTTTTGCTTGCAGGTGAAATAATGAAAGAAACCTGTCTTCACTCAATGATTACTTTATTCGTACTGAGTTGACACATTATCACATCTGTTGCCGCGCAAAAAAAACTACAGCTAGATACATTGTATTATATTTAGATAATATATGGGCTAACCGGCATCTAGCAAAAATATTAAATATGTAATAAACACCGTTCTTTTGAGAACGATGATCCCCCGCCCTTACTGTTTAGGTACAGAACGTCTCTGTTCTTTTCAGAACAGCACCCCCTAGCCCCTTCCGTTTCAAATACATACTGATTCGTAGAATTACTGCCCTCAACATGTCCACAGTTACCCAAGTTAAGTCCCTCGTCGCCGCTCTAAACCAAACTCTTGGTTGTTTGAAACCGGGATGTTTCAGAAGGAGGAAGAGGTTCATTATCACGTTCCTATCTAGTGTATCCGAATGGCTCCTCTCCAGTGGTGGAGGAAGAGGCCAGTTTGAGTGGCAGAGAGGCCGCGGCCGGGTCTGCGCCCGCCGCGACGTCCCCGCGCCCCCCGCCCGCCCCGCAGCCGGCGCCCGCGGCTCCGAGCCCGGCGAGGGAGCGCCCCAACCCGCCTTCGAACAACTCAGCATAGCTGGAAAACAATTCATTTACGGCATAAGATACATTCATGG